TCTCCACTTCCCTGTGGGCTTTGCTCACCTGTCCCTGTCGAACCTAGTTTAAAGCCCTCCTCACTAGGTTGGCCATTCTGTGTCCAAATAGGGTCTACCCCTCCTCGAAAGGTGGATGCCATCCCTGCTTAGCAGTCCTTCCTGGAATAGCATCCCATGGTCGAGGAAGCCAAAGCCCTCCTGGCGCCACCATCTTCGCAGCCAGGCATTCACCTCCAGGATGCACCTGTCTGTGCCTGGGCCCCTACCTTCGACAGGAATGATTGAAGAGAATACCACCTGTGCTCCAAACTTCTTCACCCGTACTCCCAGAATCCTGTAGTCAGTCTTGATCCACTCAGTGTCACACCTCACAGTATCATTAGTGTCCACATGGATGAGTAGCATGGGGTAGTAGTCAGAAGGCCAGATAATCCTCGACAGTGCCTCTATAATGTCTTGGATATGGGCCCCCGGCAGGTAGCATACCTCCTGAGATGACATGTCAGGGTGACAGATGGGCTCCTCCGTCCCCCTCAGAAGAGAGTCTCTGACCACCACTACCCTATGTTTCCTCCTCACAGTGGTGGCAGCAGATCTCCAGCCTTAGGGGTACAAGGCTTCTCCTCCTCAAATGTAGGGGGTGATTCCTTATCTCTTATATCAAGAAGAGCATAACAGTTTCCCAGTACCACGGTAGGAGGGTTGGGAGCAGGGATGGAGCACACCTGCTGCCAAAAGTGACCAACTGCCAGTGCCCCACCCCCGAGCCATCTCCTCCTCCACCAGTGGTATGTCAGCGGTCTTATGTAGTAGAACAGCTACCTCAGCTGTCTCCACATGAATACTGTCCAGGAATTGCTCCTGGATTTGGATGCTCCTCAGCCTAGCCACCTCCTCCTGTAGCTCTCCCTCTTGCTTCTTGAGAGATTCTACCAGCAGGCACCTTTCACATTGGATGGTCCCCTCAGCCTCGATTTCAGTAAGTGAGAATTGCAAGCCACAGTCCCTGCAAAACCACACCAGGATCTGGGTAGAGGCATCCATGGTCAGTGGTCTGTCTGGCTACAGGCATAGGTGGAGGAGACAGAAGCAATGCTGGCACAGGTGTTGCAGGTCTTCCCGACCATAGTAGGCCTCCCTCTTTCAAACTCTCTGTCTGCAGCCCCCTGTCCACTTCGCTCCCCTGGTCACTCTGCCTCTGGCCTTTAAAGCCTGCTCTCCTATGTCAGGCCTACCCCCTCGTTAGTCACACAGGGGAAGGCTGATCCTGAGGCTGATCAAAGGCAATCAAGGGAACAAAGGATCAAACACTCCCAGACACACAACCCCAACTGCCACAGTAACTGAAACTGAAATCACTTGAAATCAGAATCAAAATTCAAACAGTCGAGCAAACTCACTCACACCGAAAGCTAGTACTCTCACCTGGTAGCCTGTTCAGCAGCAGGATCTCTTGCTCTCCCTCTTAAACTCCCCTGTCTGCAGCCCCCTGTCCGCTTTCAATCAATCTACTCTGTCAAGGTACATCTTGCAGCAATAGTGACATTCCACGAATGAATAGATGGATCATCCATCTTCACACAGTCCATACCCAGGAGGTTCCTGAAAGGCCTCAGAACCTTTACCCTTTGCATAGAGCTCCAGCCCCTACCTGGGACTTGAACTTGGTTCTAGACTGTTTCATGAGACCTCCCTTTGAGCCCATGGTGACTTTCCCACTCTAATGAAGGTGCTATTCTTGACAGCTATTATCTCGACAAAGAGGGTGAACGAGATAGGAGCCCTGATGGTCAGACTACCATATATGGTCTTCACCAAGGACAGAGTGACCTTTCAACCACACCCAACATTTCTACCCAAGATCAGCACAGCATTCTATGTCAACGAGCCCATAGTATTACCAACATTTTTTCCCAAGCCTCACACATCCCCCAGGGATGCTATGCTCCATACCCTGGATATTCGCAGGGTTCTGGACTTTTATATAGATAGGACACAATCATTACAGAAGTCTCCACACCTCTTCATATCCATCAAAGCACATTAGAAGGGCGCACCAATTTCTGTGCAACGTATCTCCAGATGGATATCATCATGTATACTTGGGTGCCATTTCCTTTGCAACAAACCATTGACAGTCCCACCAAAGGCACATTCCACCCATTCTATTGCAACCTCCATGACTTTTCTAAGCAACATGGCCTTTAAGGACATTTACCAAGTAGCCACTTAGTCATTGGACCACACCTTTGCCAGGCACTACGCAATAATGCCTCAACTGGCAACAGTTACAGTGGTGGCTACAGCAGTCCTATCTTTAGCCACCAAGCAGTGACTCCATTTCTCATCATCTATGTTGTGTACTGCTTTATAGTCACCAACAATGGAGAATCCATGAGGACATCACCTGAAGAAGAAAAGGAAGTTACTCACACTGTGCAGTAATGACTGTTCTTCGAGGTGTGTGTTCCCGTGGATGCTCTGCAACCCTCCATTCCTCCCCTCTATTCAGAGTCTTAGTTACTTGGACATAAGCGAGGAAGGGGGGTTGGGCCATGTGCACGGGGTGCTGAAGCAAGAGCAGCACAAGGTGCTCTCTGTGTATGTGTGGCCTGCTGACAACTGCACAAAAAAGCTTCAATCTGAGGCTCCTGGATGTCCCATCACCATAGGGACATACACCTCTAAGAACAATCATTACTGAACAGGGTGAGTAACTTCCTTTTGTTCCACAATTTACTCAATTCACAGGATCACCAATAGCCATGGGAGATGCCCCCAGAAATCTGACCACCTTACACTGACTGGGGGAGGACAGCATTACTAGTGAGGACACAGTAATTTGGCTGTGGCTTTGCTGTGTGGCTGCTCACATTCAGGCTAGCCTGATTTGTGTGCTCATACCCAGGTGTTGGTCACTCACATTAACAAATGTGAAGATTTTACCAGAGATTACCTGTGAAGATTACCCTGAGAACAGAAATTCTTACATTTCTGAATAAATGGACCAAATGTAAAGATACATTGTTATGGCAAAAGGTGCTAATAGTTTGCAGGTAAAGGTCATTGATATATAAACCCTCAGTATGAAACTCCCTACAAAAAAAGAGCAAGAGATGCAATGCTATAACTTTATGCAGAACGTAATGTGTGAATTAAATTGCTCTTCTGTATATAACAATAGAGATGCTGAGGTTCCTGCACTGAAGGAGGATAGACCTCCAGGCTTATCTTTCAGAGCCACATGGTCTGCATGAGCAGCTGTGGGTATGGACTACACAGTTTTTTGTACTGCTTTAACTTTTTTGGCTATACTCATGATTTGTATTTCACTGTAGTTAACTCAGTACAGCCCCTAATGTGGAAGCGGATATATCAGTATACGGGTGCAGTATACGGGTGCTTATATAGGTTTTGAGTGATAGTGATATAAGTGCATTTATACTAATATAACTATTCACGTTATAGTTAAACTATATGATTTTCTGTACTGGTATAATTAAAGCAGTACAAAAACTATGTAGACAAACATTTGGCCTATAGCTTTCCAGTAAAGTCATAGTTATGACACCAGAGTTATGAACTGACTAGTCAAGCACACAAATCATTTGGAACTACAAGTATGCAATCAGGCAGCAACAGAAACAAATACAAAAAACCCCACCCAAATACAGTACATGATTGTGTTAAACATAAATTACTAGAAAAGGGAGTGAAAGCAGCATTTTAATTCTGCATAGTAAAGTTTGAAAGCTATATTAAGTTGGTGTTCAGTTGCAAACTGAAAGAACAACCATTACGTTTATTCAGAGTTACAAATGTTTCAGAGTTATGAACAACCTTTGTTCCTCTGGTATTCATAGCTCTGAGGGTCGTCTTAATGTAAAACTGAGGAAGAGGAGACACTCTGTGAAGTAGGGAAATTTTCATGAGACTTCGGGAGATTCAGGAAGTGCAAGATAACTAGTTTTTCATAGCCACACAGGAGGAAAAACAAGATGCTGTGGATGTGGTTTAATTAAGCTACAAATTTATTCACATAATTTATCTGTGAATACCAGGAAGCAAATCATACAGTTCAGGTTGTCATTCATTACTTAATCAGTTCTACCTATTTGGGAGGGTTTCCATCAGCCCTCCCCCTTCCCAGCCTGGTCCCTGTCCATTTTTGGAATGTTGCTCCCTTCCCCTTGTGAGAAGGCTAATAGTTCTGGAAAAACGGGATGTTGTCTCTACTGTACCAAACATTAGGAGCTCCAACCCCACTTTCCCCATCTTCTTTATAGGAGTCCTTCCTGTCTAAATCCTCTTCCAACTCCTGTTTATTAGAGAACTGTATCCCCTTTGTAATGAGTACCTGTGCTGGACATTTCCCATAAAGAGACATGAGCAATTAGCATGGCAGTTTTTGGAAACAGGACAGAGGTGCATTATTTCACCTTTTGTGCAAGAGGGAGTTGCCCGTGTGCTCTTCATTACCACCTTTTTTTCTGAGGAAACAAGACTTGTGTATATTTTGTACACAAGCAAATTACACACACAAAAAATCTGTTTTTTTTTTGTCGCCAGTTTCTGTTCCAGATGGAAAACTGAGACTTGCAAAGTCCTGAATTCAACTACTGCTTGACAAAGGATCAGTAGTATTTATAATAGTTCTTAACACTTGTCAGTGTTTTTACTTAGCTCTTCTGTTTGTTCATTAACTTGAGCTAAGTAGAGCCCTGATCCAGCAAAGCATCTAAGCATATGTGTAGTCTCATTAAGTTTAGATTTAGTATTTTTAAAACTTCCCTTTACCATTTTTTTCCTGGTTTAGTGGACAGATGGTATTGTTGCCAACACTTTCCGAGAATTTGCTTTATCTGAGTCACCAGACCGTAAATGGGTTGTTTTTGATGGTCCTATTGATACTCTGTGGATAGAGAGTATGAACACAGTGCTGGATGACAACAAAAAGGTAAAACATAAATGTCTAAAGAAAATGCTGTGCCACCTAAGAAACATAATACTACATATAAAAGAAAACAGCAATTGTAGCAATAATACTTGAAATTTAATAATGATTCTTCTTTGCAAGACCTCACAGCCTCAAATTTAAAATATGGTCCTCAGGTTTTTTTATATTTTTGCGTGCCTGACTTCAGAGACATGGGGTTTTCCTGGAAAAACTTGACATTCTGTAGTTTGAAGCACGAGTTTATCCTAGTTTATTAATATTTTCATTAATATTTTTGTTTTGAAAGATAATTGTGTAAAACTTATTTTGTAAAACTTACAGAAAGGCTGCCTCTACACTGGCATGATTTTGCGCAAATACTTTTAACAGAAAAGTTTTTCTGTTAAAAGTATTTGCGCAAGAGAGCGTCTATATTGGCAAGTGCATTTGCGCAAAATATTTGCTTTTGCGCAAAAGCATTCGTGCCCAGTATAGACGCACTTTTGCGCAAGAAAGCTCCGATGGCCATTTTAGCCATCGGGCTTTCTTGCGCAAGAAATTAAGGTTCCTCTCTACACTGGCCCTCTTGCGCAAGTATTCTTGTTCAAGAGGGCTTATTCCTGAGTGGGAGCGTCAAAGTATTTGTGCAAGAAGCACTGATTTCTTACATTAGAACATCAGTGCTCTTGCGCAAATTCTCGCGGCCAGTGTAGACAGGAGGCAAGTTTTTGCGCAAAAGCAGCCACTTTTGTGCAAAATCTTGCCAGTCTAGATGCACCCAGTGGGTAATTGGTTTGGTTCTTTTCTTATATCAGTGTAAATAAGAAGTAACTCCACTTAAGTTAATATATTAATTAGTTTAAAACTGGTATCAGTGAGAAAAATGAGGTCCGATATTTATTCTTTGCCTGTGATTTCCTCTTCTAGCAGGTTCTAAAAGATTGTTTGAGTCCTGTATACTACAACTACAATTCCTATTTCCACATTTAATAGACAAATGATTTGAGTGGAGAAATCATAGAATTTGGCCCAAAGCGAATAGAAATTGGTCACTGTTTCAAATGATTGTTGTTGTGATGGGTAATGGTTAGTCTTTCCCATTTACTATGAACTTAAAAAACAAAAACTGGTCTGGTACACTTTATAGACTAAAAAACATGTAGATGGTATCATGAACTTTCATGGGCACAGCCCACTTTTTCAGATGACCAGAGTTTTGAGTTTAGGATGTGCAGACCCAAAATAAATAGGGGAGAAGGGAGAAGCAGTAACGATCTAAGTCAATAGATAAGGGGGAAACTAACACAAGAATCTACATAAAGAGCTGTTTGCACAACCTAACATTCAATCTTTAGGTACTTACTGATTGCCTATTCTGCCTTCCTGTTTTTCCCTTTGATTTTTGTAATAACCTCTGCTGCTTGTTTCCTGGCCCTCTTTCTTTTTTTCCTTCCCCCTTCTGCCTTATTTATTTTGGGTCTGCACATCCTAACCTCAAAACCCTGGTCATCTGAATAAGTGGGCTGTGCCCACGAAAGCTCATGATGCCAGCTACATGTTTTGTTAGTCTGTAACGTGCTACCTGGCCAGTATTTGTTTTTTAAGTTTATCCTGTACAGATTAACTCGGCTACTCCCTGAAGCTTCCATTTACTATAGTTAACTTCACTCATTTTGATGTGGAGATCATCCAGCAATCGAAACATATTAATTTACAATTGAAATAGATCGTTGTATAAGATTTTGCTAATATTCATAACTGTGTGTGTTAAATGAACTCTTCTTCATATTTAGCTTTGTTTGATGAGTGGGGAAATCATTCAGATGTCTGCTCAGATGAGTCTGATCTTTGAAACAATGGACCTTTCCCAGGCTTCAGTAAGTTTAGTAGTCAGTTAAAACATTATCCACAATTGCACAATTATACATATATAATGATGCGTGGATAGGGTCTAAATTTACTATTCTTCTTTAGCCAGCTACAGTCAGTCGCTGTGGCATGATTTATTTGGAGCCATTACAGCTAGGCTGGATGCCTCTTGTAACCTCTTGGATGAACAGCTTACCCGAAGCCCTAAAACAAAAGGATCAGCAAGATCTTCTGCAAGAACTTTTTAACTGGTTGATACCACCAGCCTTAAGATTTCGTAAACAACAATGCAAGGTATTTTTTGTGTGTTTATTTTCACCAAAATAATTATGTTGCTGTTTCCATTCCACTCTCCGTGTCCTATGAAAGAACAATTACTGATGGTAGTGGCAGGTTTTTGCAAATGCAATACATTTGCACTTGATTTTGAGAGGACAACTATTTTAGCACATTTGGAAAATGTGACTAAGAATATTAGGTACAATTTGCAGATAAAATCTAACCAGTAATGTAATGAGTGAAAAAAGTTTTCACCAGAAGTTTGAGAGGAGGAAAAAGGATTATTTTATCTTAGGAAAAATAGTATATGTGATGCCCAATATGCAATACAATAAGTGGTGCTCCCAATGCTGAATCTATAGCATTGTATATATTATGCCTAATTTTTGAAAGGTGCATTATTGTCAGAGTCAATATTACAGATGAAGAGGGTAACTTTTTAGGGACAGAAGTAGAGAAAAGGATTTTGCCATTAAAAATAAAAGAAAAACAGTGTAAATCCTTTCTTTGGAGCCAATATATAATTTAACTAGAAAACTTACTAGGCATTGCCTGGGTCCTTCAGGGCAGGTGGATGTGGGATGGGGGGAGCAGGGTGGCGGGAGCAGGGCAGGAGGTGGATGTGGGGTGGGGGGAGCAGGGCAGGAGGCTGGGTACATGGGGGAGTGAGAAAATGAGGGTTGGGTGGTGAGAAGGTACTCAGGGCTAGGGGCCTTCTGTCTCTCCTCAGCACTGAGGCCAAGGGCTGGGGGGAAAGAATTTGGGGCAGAGGGACTACTTACCTGGTCTGTTGTCAGGCAAGATGGTGGATCCCCAGCTATGCTGGACACTTTCTTGGTGGTACAGCTGCCCCCAGTGACTCTCTGCAGTGTAGCTCACCCTTGCAGACTTGCTGCCCCCAGTGGCCACTCTCAGTATTGTGTCCCTTCTCTCTCTGCCCTTCCCTTTCCCTGTTATAGAAAATAGTCTCATTCCCAGTGCTTCCAGTTGTCCTGGCACAACCAAACCCTGACCTTGATTTAAGTTCAGATTAGAGGAAGCTGCATACCAAATTTGGTGATTCTAGCTCTTACTTTTTGGGAGGAGTTCTTGAACAAATGGACTCTCATAATATAAGGTTGTTTTCCCAAAAGATATACTAAAATTTGTGAGAAGTATTTAATACTGTGATATTCATCATTTTCCATTCTTTGTGTCTTGTAGGAGCTGGTTTCCACAAGTAACAGCAATGCTGTAGTGTCTCTCACTCGACTTTTTGAAATGTTACTTTTTCAAACTGTGCAAAAGGATCCTACAAACAAAAATATCCACACATGGATTATGGTTAGTCTTTTACTAGATATATTTAAAAAAGGAAAAGAGGAATTAATTGATAATAGGTCTTTTGCAAAATTAATCTCTTCATCTTGACTTTCTTGCAATAAGTGCATTGCACACACACACACACACACACGCTAATTAGTCAAGTTCACTTCGATTTGGTAAATGAAGGAAGAAAGTGAGAGACTGTTTTGTTGCTACTTTTCTAAAACTTGGGAGGTGCTCAGACATTCTAGTGATAATGGATTAGTAATTACTTACACAGCTATATTTCAACCATTTTCCAACTATTGTCAATTAATTTAGAAAATGTTGGTTTTACTAAATTTAGGTTGTAATTAGACCAAACAGCTAGCTAAAGCCATGATTGTATGTTGGGAAAGGAATGATGTGCAGGTATAACTGCATTTGCCAGTTTGGAGGTGGTCTGTGAGTGGGTTCTACATTATGCTTCACACAGTTAATACGAAGGGTTGTTTCATTGGAGCAGCATTGAGTCCTGGCCCAGGTCCTGGCTTGGTGAAGGAGTACATTTCAAATCCCTTCACTTCACTTACGTTGAGCCTGAATTCTCAAGCTTCATGTACGGGGAGTGAATCTCACCCCTTCAGACTATCTGCAGCATCACATATTCATTTAGAATCATCAGGGATTTGGTATCATGTTTTATTTGTAATGCAGGTTGTAGTGAATTCTGTATGGAAGAACCTCTGCCTCTGAAAGCTGACATTCAGGCACTTATATACTACAGTGATAAGTGTGATTTGTTCCCTGGCTTTCTCCTCTAAAACAGATAAACGGATACATATGCTACTAGCTTTATTGTGTACAGTGAAGACATAGGAATGGCCATCCTGGGTCAGACCAAAGGTCCATCTAGCCCAGTAGCCTGTCTGCCAACAGTGGCCAGCATCAGGTGCCCCAGAGGGGGTGGACCGAAGACAATGATCAAGCAATTTGTCTCATGCCATCCATCTCCACAAACAGAGGCCAGGGACACCATTTCTATCCCCTGGCTAATAGCCTTTTATGGATCTAACCTCCATGAAATTATCTAGCTTCTCTTTAAACTCTGTTATAGTCCCTCAAATCATACAGCTCAGTGCATTGGGTGGTATCTTCAATTGTTTCCAGCGCTGTCACTACAAAAAAGGGCTTAACTACTTCTGCTTATCCTTAACCAGATGCGTGATTATCTTTGGCTTGAAGACTCCTACAATGACAGTTAGCAATTTTCAGCATAATAGTATTCCATGCCATTAAATATTGTTGATCAGATTATGCAATAGTTGTTATTTTTAAATGGTAATTGTTTATCTTCTTGTCCTCACAGGCTTGTTTTGCTTTCTCCATGGTTTGGTCCATTGGTGGAACTTGTGACAGTGACAGCAGAGTTCTTTTTGATAACTTTACGAGGGATGTTTTAGCAGGAAAATCTGAGGCTCATCCAGTGCCACCAGCTGTAGGTAAATGGGACTGTCCCTTTGATGAGAAAGGCTTGGTCTATGACTATATGTATGAGGTATGAAATTTACTGATTACTCATTTTTAGTGTGGTTCAAATAGATCCTTAAAACTATAAGTGAGGGAAGAATTCATCTAGGTGGAAATGTTAGCTTCTTAGAATTCATTGGCGGCAGGATTAACCGACTCTATTGGAAGCAGGATTGGGCCTTTAGGGGACTAAATGAACAACTATTGGTTGACAATAAAGATATATTTTATTTCGTAATTAGTTTTTCTATTAGAAGAATGCACTGACTTTCTGAATAGAACTTTTTAGAAAATGGCTACCCAATTTACATAAGGAGTGCCTAGACTGTGTTGCATTTCAGTTCAGCTGCAGTTGAGGCCCTTGGACTTTTGAGTTTTCTATAGGGGGAAGCTACATTCTTAAACTTAAGCATATTTATAGACATATTGTCTTCAGTCGGATTAAGCATATGCTTAAATTTAGCATGTGTGTGAATATTTTCCTGGATAAGAGGGTTGTAAAGAGGTAGGAGAAAGAAAGTGATCAGAACATCCAATACATTTCTAAAATGACTGTCCATTCCTTTTAAGGTTTGCTCGTTACTAGTGCAGTGAGTAATTTTTTCCCACCAGTGAGTGGAATAATGTTTGTTATATGTACCACAGCATGTGCAGATGTGCACCACCAATAGAAACATATGATGCTGGCCACGGGCACTGTGTGTGCTCTGTTAATCAGCTGAGCAGCTGTTAACTCTCTCCTGGGTGACTGCTCAAGTACACAGCTTACAGGGAACACTTGTAGTGAGGAAAATAAACATAAAATAATCTGAAATACTCAATATTACATTAACTTGTAAAATAGTTAAGTGCTAAAGAAAACCTTTTGAACATATGTCAGCATTGTGTTTTCCATTGTAATTGAAAAATATATTTCTTCTTAGTTGAAAGGCAAAGGACGTTGGGTGCATTGGAATGAAGCCATTAAAAGCAGTAAATATAGCGATGACAAAAATGTTAAGATTCAAGACATCATTGTCCCAACTTTGGATACAATCCGATATACCTATTTGATGGACTTATGCATCACCCATGGAAAGTAAGACCATTCTTTTCATGCCAAACTAGGAATGATTTTGTTACAGTTCATATAGAATTTTATTCAAAGACCCCTGAAATCCATGGAGTCTTTCTGTTGATTTTAATACTTCTGCATTAGGCCCCCAGAAGTGCCATCCTTACCCCTACACAGAATATGCAGCTACATAGGGCACCCAAAAATCTGGGGCAACATTGGGTCTTAATGTCCACCCATCCACCTCTTCCTTTCCCTGTTCTGTGGCTCTGCTTTGTCCTGAGAGAATCTAGTTAAAAATGAAAAAGCCTGACAGATTTATTAGCGGAACATTTAACCTTTGAAAGATCCATTCAAGTGGGTATTGAAGCCATTTAACAGGCATTTGCCAACTCCAGGTATATACTGTCAGTTTTTTAATTTACTGTGGTAGTCTACAAGACTTTAGTTTAAAATTTGCTTTAAAATATTTCATTAGTGAGTTGCTGAAGATTATAAAATCACATCTATAGCCCCTCCCTCCTCCCGGCTGCCATCTAAGGGTATGTCTACACAGGATACCGGAGGGATCTACACAAGCTGCCTGTTGTTTTGAAATATTTTTTTAAATAACGGGCGTGCTATGTTGGCATCCCTTATTAAGTGATGTCTTGAAATAGCACATTATTTTGAAATTTGGCGCTGGGTAGACACGCCAATTTTCAAAATAAGCTATTGCGAAATAGATTTTATATAGGATTATGGAAATTGCATATCTTACTTTGAGTTTAGGGTGCGGTGTAGAGTCACCCTAACTAAGAATAAAATTTAATATACTTTTTAACATTTTGGTGTTTTAGTGGTTTATACATATTTACAAGTAGATCAACTTTGTTCAGTATTTCAGTTTTAGTTTAACTGGGTGTATGTTGTATCTACTATTTTGTCTTTGATTTACTGATTATTATTATTATTTTTTTTTTTTTTTGCAAAGACCATTGCTTTTTGTGGGACCTACAGGTACTGGGAAGTCTGCATATGTGAAGGATAAGTTAATGAACAACTTGGAAAAGGAAAGATACTTTCCATTCTTTATTAATTTTTCAGCCCGGACTAGTGCCAATCAGATCCAGGTAGGTAGAAACAGCTAGTTTACATTAATTAAAATAAGATTATATAGACAGAGATGTATATTTACTTGGAATTTGAGCGGATACGATTTTGCTCAGTCATATCAAGATACATTTGTGTGATTTTTATAGTAATACATTTTTATAGAAATAATGGTTTCTGGAACCATTTTATATCAATGAAATGCTTAAAAATAAAATATCAATTTTTTTTTTTTACTGCTGCCCTGGAATTCACATCTCCTTTTGGTCTCAGAGCTTGTGTTCAGGGTATAGTGTAAAGAGCATCTGATCACTGAGGTTGTCACCTTAGTAGATAAGTGTATGGCTTGGTTTAATTGGGGTTAAACTTCTTATTGTTTATTTGATATTTGTCAAACAATTTTTTCTGTTTCTTTTCATATGTCTGTGTGAGTTCAGAGATGTGAGCTAAACTTGATTTTAGAAATCTAGGATCAATAAATAAAAATTCCCAGCTGTGGAAAAAAATGAAAAACAATAAACGTTCCAGAAATAATGTATTATGATTCAACACAGCTAATCCTTATAATGAAGAATGAGCATGTGGCTAAACTGCATATAAGTGAAATTGGGTTTTGTTTTGTTTTAATTTTAAAATATTCCAGTAAACTCTAATTGCCCCCGGATGCTTGCCTGGTATTGTTTTAATTTTAAAATCCTCTAGTAAGCTCTAATTGCCCCTGGTGCCTGCCTGATTATGATCCTCTAAACTCGGCCCTGTATATTCCGGGAAGAGAAAACTGTTCACCCAGGCCCTGGCATATCTTCCCTCCATTAGTGTGCAGCAATCAGCTAGTCTGGATCTGTCACAAAATTCACACACATATTTTCCAATTTAGCATCTTCTTAATTATAAAAGCCGTGAAGTGTTTCAGTGCACTATTTTCCATTATGCAATATATCGAGCTGCATATTAAATCTATTTTTTAAGTCGTCCCATTTTGCTTTTTAGAACATAATTATGGCGAGGCTGGACAAAAGACGCAAAGGAGTATTTGGACCTCCTATGGGAAAGAAGTGTGTCATCTTTGTTGATGATATGAATATGCCTGCATTGGAGAAATATGGAGCTCAGCCTCCTATTGAACTTTTAAGACAGTTTTTTGACCATGGAATTTGGTAATTATTCAAGATAGCTTATAGTAAATACACTTTCAGTAATTAAGTGGATAATTTTGCCGTTATTATTAATATCATTAATTAACTTTAATTTAATTTTCAGACATGTTCTCTTAAAACGAATATTATTTATATTTTATCAGGCACTATTGCCTTTTTAAAATTACTTACACTTTAAATAATCTTTGTATTGCCTTTTAGTTATACACTAAGGGGTATATCTAAACTACATCCCTCTTTCGAAACGTCACAGTGTTCTTTCAAAAAACACTATTTTGAAAGTGAAACCATGGTCTAGACGCAGTTCTTTCTAAAATAAAAGCCTTTTTCTCATTGAGGAGCATGGGATCTTTCAAAAAAGGCTTTTCTTTTAGAAAGAACTGCATCTAGACTGCGGTTTCACTTTTGAAATAGCATTTTTCGAAAGAATGCCACGACGCCATTATGCAAATGAAGCATGGGAAATTTAAATCCCAGCTTCATTTGCAATTTTGATATGTCTAATTTACATCCAGAGATCCAGTTGCTGAATTAGTTATTCTTCAGTTTCACCTGCCAGTTAATCATGGCCTCCAGGATTCTCTTAAATTTGTACATATTGTAAAATAGTTCCAACATGTGAGCATGCTAGGCTGTAAAGAGGGTCTGAAGGTTGAGTCCAACCTCACTGCAGACCTAGTGACTGTACTCCTAATAGTCATTCATTTTGTCTGTTAAGGACTTAAATTCCTTTTAAAAAATCATGATATAGGTATAAAATATTTCATTTCTGGTGGAACAAAATACTTTGTTTGATAAAAAACAGTTTTTTCAGACCAGCAAACAAATTGAAAAATTAGCAACCTGCACAATAGTCTTATGGCACGTCTACACAACTTCACCTACGTCAATTGCCTAACTTACATCAAAATAGCTTAATTCGGCTTTTGGCGCTTCATACACTGCAGGAAGTTGAAGGAAGAACACCCTTCCTTCGACTTTCCTTACTCCTCATGAAATGAGGGTTACCATGAGTCAGAGTAAGAAGTTCTTCAGCTCGACATAATTTCGAAATAATGCCTTGCAGTGTAGATGCGCAATGTTTTATTTTGGAATAAAAGCTTCGGGTGGACAAACACTGCAAAAAATGTTTGTGAAGTTTTGCTCAAAATTTTAAATGAATTTGCCCAAGACATGCACATGATCCCTTTGCAAACTTAGTGTGTGAAATTAATTTTAATTTCACACGAAACTACTGGCTTCCTCAGTGCTTTAAAGCAAAACATGTATATGTGTTCATGACCCCATTTGAAGTTTCATAGAAGTCACCTCAAGGGTCCATCTGCATGGCTGTCTTTGTAGAATTCGGGTGTAAAGTATATCTAAAATACTCTGTACTATTACAGATATATCAGACTACTTGCATTACGACTGCCTTGTTGTATCTGTAATTAGCTAAATATCACATTGTAATTTGTTTTAAAGGTATGATTTAAAGGACACAAATAAAATTACACTGGTTGACATACAATTGCTAGCTGCTATGGGACCTCCAGGAGGTGGAAGAAATCCTGTTACATCTCGTTTTCTGCGACATTTCAACATTTGCACCATTAACTCCTTTAGTGATGAAACTATGGTCCGTATTTTCTCTACCATAGTAGCTTTTTACCTTAGAAATAACGAATTTGCTCCTGAATTCTTCACAATTGGAACCCAAATTGTCAATGGCACAATGGAGGTAAGAAGCAAATACCGTCCTGAAAGTTTCATTTTCCATTACTTGGTAAAGTACTACAGATTCCAGATTGATTTAATGGAAGATATTGGAGTTTGGGAAATCTATGTCCCTATTTCTGTTTTCAAAGTATGGACAGAAATAACGAATTTGCTCCTGAATTCTTCACAATTGGAACCCAAATTGTCAATGGCACAATGGAGGTAAGAAGCAAATACCGTCCTGAAAGTTTCATTTTCCATTACTTGGTAAAGTACTACAGATTCCAGATTGATTTAATGGAAGATATTGGAGTTTGGGAAATCTATGTCCCTATTTCTGTTTTCAAAGTATGGACAATGCAGC